TCTCTATTATCTCTATTACGCATATAGCTAGCGTAAGACTTTCTATTATTCTCTTTTCTAGCTTTACTTTTAAGAAGCTTATTAGTAAAATGTATAAGCTCTTTAGTAGTTATAGTTTCTTACCTATAAGAGAAAGAAACTAGAAAGACTATTCTATTAAAGACTATTCTATTAATAATTTTACTAATAAGATACTACTAATTATCTACTATATTATTGTCTATAACTAAGTATATAAAGTAAAAGAAATAATAAATCTACCTCTCTCTTTAGCTCTATAGAAAGCTATACTCTTATAAAAGAATGCCTTAGCTAGAATACTTTGTAAAAGTAAAAAGAGCTAGAATAGTAAGAATATAGTGTTTGTAGATTACCTTATATAGTAAGATACTATTTATTAGATAGTAGCTGTAATAAACTACTATAACTTCTATTAAGACCTAGACTATAAAATAGTTATTGCGTTATAGTTATTAAAGAATAAATGCTGTAAGGCCTAGTGTAGTATTTCTATTACTACTATATTATGTAGTTCTTAACTACTACGTAAACTTCTTAAAAGTGTATTAATATATATAGTTGTAGTCTATATAAGTATTAGTGCTAATAGTAATATACACTAAATATCTTAAAATCTTAAAATCTTCTAGCTGTTCTAAGATAACAAGCTAGACATCTTTTAACATCTTTTTACTAAATAGAGTCTACAAAATTAGGTATAAGGCACTAATTACTAGTATATAAAAAGACATATTTTTAAAAAAGTTAAAATTTTATATTTAAAGGTATAAGCGTTAGGTAGACTAAGGCTTAAGTTCTTAGCACTATAGCTTCTAGCGTAGTTAAAGCTTTTAAAATTTAAAGTAGTAAAATAACTATTTTATAAATACTAATATTTACTTATAGTAAGAAGAATTATAATATAATTATATATTCTTAATAGCTTATAACTAATAAAGCTATAAATTATAAAGTAATAAAATACTAAATTTTTTAGTAAGTAAAATTATACTTCTACTATATATATACTCTCTATTCTTATTCTACTACTTATAATAAATTAGAGATCTAAAGACTTATTAAAGACGTAAACAGTAGCTTAAATCTAATACTAAAGCTATACTTAAAATATTATAAAAATATAGAGAGAACTTACTCTATATAAAATTCTAAGGCGGGGCTTCTTAATAAAATTTAAGGCTTCTTGTTGCGTTGTGCAGCGTGTTTTAATAATTTAAGCCACTTCTTAGCGTATCAATATTCCTTTCCACGGGGTGCACGCCTAAGTTGCATTGCTGCTTCCCGCTCACAGCAGGGATCCGAGTCTTGGCCAATAAAGGGAGTAGTAGACTGACGGAAGATTTTGCCGTGAAGACGCCTCGCTTGGCTAGTATACGTGAGGGATTGTGAAGTAATGGGACGGGACAGGATACTGCAGATAAGCGAATCGAAGTAGATTCCTCCTTCGATCATTTCTTGGGAGGCAGGGAGTATGAGCCTGTGTCGTAAGCCTCATTGCGAAGCCATTACTTGACGTCTCCGTGACCCCGCACGACGACAACGCAATTCTCTGCTCGACAGTGACGACCTTGCATTGACTGCCCCTTGTCATACTTCAGTAAGCATGTCTGTCACTTTACATGTGTACGCGAAGTCCGTCGATCGTCTACAAAAGGCAACCCATCTCCCATTGGTCAGGGAGCACTTTTCCGGCGCGACCTCGGACAGACCGTCCAGGGCCTCCACTATCCCATCACGTGTCCGAAGTAAGCCTTGGGCTTCAGTGTTTCTCAACCATGGGAACTCAGAAAAATCTTAACTTAACAACTAAAGTACACCATCGTAGTCATGTGCTGCTCTGGTGCCTGGAAGGGATGGGTGAATAAAATCTTCGCACTTGTCCACTATCCCACGAGGCATGCAGCGCAGGCAAGAAATCTCAATTCGGTTCTTCTTACGTATATTCGCCTCCGCAACAGGAATCTCGCATGGAAGTATCTCGGTAGATAGCAGATGAAGATGAGCACCGACACACCGAGTGGGGATACATAACGTCATAAGGCTGAAGGGACCCCACACAACACCAGATCCTTCTCTGCCTCCAAGCAAGGAAGGGGAGGCGACTTTCACCGTTGAATACCAATCTCACAGTTCTCTGGGGAAAGCGCCAACGGGCTGCGCGGTGGCGAAACGGTCGGTACGTGGTTACCTGTTCTGGAAGGGAACGTTGGAACGATTCGAAGCGGGCTCTTGGGCCGTGGGCAATAGGGTCAAGACACTACGCGGTGCGGGTGCTGTACCCGTACCATCTAATTCCTCTGAACAAGTTCTGCTCTGATTGTAACCGGTAGATCTACTGTACATCGTGTGCTTTCACGTCAACCCGCATGGACAAAGTAAATTGCATTTCTTGCGCGAGCATTGTGATCCTGACTGTCTTGGAAGGTACCACTCTGTCTATACTGGCAGTTCTTGACTTCCCTATACACTTGAATCTGTGAACCATGGCCAACGCATGCATCAGACACAAAAGGGTTTCTTGCCACTTTCACATCCGGTCCACATGCTGGCTACACAGAAGTCTAGGCTCATGCTTCGAAGTATGTAGGCTGACTCCATCTGACTTCTCCCTGTCTTTGCGCACATCCACACACACACACACACACATAAATTTTGCACCGCATATACAGTAGCGTTTGGAGCATCTAGACCACGCCAGCAGTCCGGTATCGAGTAGCTCCTACCAGAGAAAAGCAATGGTGCGTAAAGCAAAACGTCCAGATGGAGCAACTTGTTGGCAAAGTGTTGAAGGCAGTGGAACCTTTGCCCGGTGCGATACAGACGTGTCTCTGAGGATATCGGTCATGGCTAGCGTATCCAGGGGATGTTGCGGTACTTGTTTGAATCGTGTGGTGAGGTTGAGTGTAGTAGAAGGCGACGCTGGCGTCCACGGGGAAGGGAAAATGTGAGCGAGACGTCGTCCGTACGATATCGTTAGTTTATGGTCATCTATAAAATCTACTGGGTCAGAGGTGTCTTGAAAACTAGCGCGACGTGGTCGTCACCGGCCGTGACGACTGTCTCGCCATCTCCTTGTACAAAGGCCATGATACCTCCTCCTTCACCACCTCCCCGGTGTCCCTTCCACTCGCCTACAAGGCCCTTGCCAGCTGCAGCCGTTCCACCTCGTGCATCCCATCGCTTCAAAACACCGTCGTATCCCACACTGGTCAACAACCAACCTCCGGGGCCTTCCTTGGCAATGAAGTCCAGCTTGACAACAGCTTGTGGTGACTCGTCGTCGGCGTGTGCGTCTTCTATCCGCCTTCGGACGGCGAAGCGGTGTGCGGTATCGAAGAGGGTGATGGAGCCGTCGACGTTGCCGGCGGCCATGAGGGTAAGTGGTGCAGAGGAGAAGCTCATGCACTCGACGTTGTCGCTTCCGGCTTGCAGACTTGCCAAGATCTGTCCGGCTTGACCAGCTGACGAAGCTCCGCCTTTGGCGCCAGCCTGCTTGCCTCCTCCAGCTTTGTTCTTTGCGCCTCCGCCGCTCGATGATGTAGATGCTTGCGCGGGCGCAGCGAGAGAAAGACGGGGGAGTCCGACGATGCGGATTTGACCTTCGGGGCCGCCGACTGCGACGAAAGCGCCCGATGGCGGGATGCCGACTGAGTATAGTCCGCCCTCAACGCGGAAGCGCTCGTCAAGGCCAGTCAGGCCAACAACGGCTTGCGAATCGGTGGTTGCGGTGAGACCTTGAGATGCGGCATCGCCAAACACGTCCCACACGTATAGACTCGAGTCTTCGGAGATGGTAGCGAGGAGCGAGCCGTCGGGCGACCATGTGCCGGCAGTGCAGGTCTCGGTGTGGAGGTAGTATGCTTGTAGGACCTGTAGCTCGTTGTTCTTCTCTGTGCTGATCTGGTACACCCATACTGAGCCATCGTTGGCTCCGAGCGCGACGACATTGGGGTGGTCGGGCGACGGGTTCGGGATGACCCAGTTGATCTCCTCGACCTCTTGTGCCTCTGCCAAATATTTCCACTTCTTGCCATCAGGAACGCCCTGCCATACGCGCAGCTTTCCGTCCAAGCCAGCTGTCGCGACGAATTGTCCCTTTGGCTGAGTGAATGTGATGGCGTTGACCGAGTCCTTGTGTCCGTCGAGTGTGAAGATGCTCTTCAAGCCCTCGCGCTCGGTGGGCTGTCCGTCGCTGCTCGGTTGCACCGCCGCGGCTGAAGACGCGTCGATGATGTAGCCGACATCGTCGCCGCCTCCTGTCGCAATGATTTCGTGGTGTACGGGGTGTTGCGCTATGCAGAAGATGCTGTCCTTGTGCTCGTCGAAATGCGCGACCGAGTCGTTTTGGAGGTTGATCTCCATCTCCATCTCTTGGCGGCCCTCGTCACCCTCGTCGTCTGAGTCCATGGGCACGTCGCCATCGTCCTCCACAATCTCCTCCGCCTCCTCGGCGTCTAGGGTGTTGTCCACATCATGTACGTCGATGTCGTCCTCGTCGTGCTGGGGCTGGTTGGGCGTCGGGTTCGTGATGGCCATGTTGCTGGCTTTTTGATTCGATTTTTGAAATATGTGAGAGATCTGGGTACAAGAAAGCGCGCACTGCTGTTTGCGCAAAGTTATATGACGGGGCGCAGTATGTTGCTTAGAAATGTAAAATTGCACCTTTCTTCGAGTAACTTTTCTGATCCAAGACCCTGTCGGAGGGGCTCAAACGCCGACCCCACCACGCCCTCACACGTCATTTGTCATCCACAGATTTATCCGCATTGCAATCTCTTATGCTTGAATAATGCCAAATCTGGATGGAGCAACATCTTCACAAAGACCGTAAGGTGACTAACGTACATGAGACCTCCCTTTCCAAAGTGGTGTGAACACACTCGCTCCTTACCCCCAGTGTCCGCCCGAGCTTTCCAAGGTCGTCTCTCGATATCATTCAAACGAACAGCACTATTCTTCGTCAAGCGCGAACATAGAAGCTAAACCATATCATCCTCTACAATCTTCTCCAGAAGTCCAGCCAAGCGCTCGTCAACTTTCCCTGACGCTGCGCGCAGCCTTGCAGCTTCTTGGAAAACCTCTAATAGCTCGCGACGGGTTGACACGTCGTTGGAGGAAGTGTAGTGGCGTGGCTCCGTCTCTGGAGGCATTTGCGGAGTGTGCAAATCGAGGCTAATGTTGTCACTCCTGTTCGCAGAAGCCGGGGTGGGCAAGTCGCCGAATCCTCCTCCCGTTTCTTCGTGATTTGAACCGTCTCTGTCGCCTGGAGGCAAGCCGTTCACTGCGCGAAGTAATTCTTCGTCACTTACATAGGTCTGGTTCGATACAACCATGCTTGATAACGCATATATTCCGTAACTGATACACAGTCCGACGATGTAAGTGATGAACACAGCGCGACTCCCGTTGACACCAGCTGTTTCGTCCAAGCTTCGTATCCATGTGAATCCAAGGTAGATACCCAATCCGGCCAGGAAGGAATTGAGTGAGAAAGACAGCAGCATGTTCGGTGCTGATACGGTGAGGACGGATGCCACAGAAGGGAGCTTCTCATAAATGCTCGTAGGTGAGTCCTTGTCCAGGTTCTGGATCCACGCCTTCACGTGCTCGGCACGTGAACAGTGCCCGAGAATACGGTACTGTTTTGTTGCATAGTAAACCGCTATGATCGAAGTGAGCAAGCTCAGTATGAAGAAAGCGCGAGCGGTCCAATGTGTTCGGCTCAGGTTGTCCAGGGATAGCGCAGTGATAGCGATCTGAGCAAGGATGGTGGCCCGGTATAGAGTCAGATTGGATGGCCTTAAGAGTTTCCGGGTTTTCTACACTCACAGCTACAGCTATGATGCTGCTCTCTTCCTGGATTGACTTCTTGAAATCCATAGCCTCCGCTTCATGAAGACCGCCCAGTACCCGCGTCTGAATTTGCCAAACTTCATGGCTCCCAAAGGTATAAATGAAGATACCTGCTGGCCCGTACAGTACTGTGAAGAAGGATAGGCTCTTCAATGCCTTGATGGGTACCCGAGTTAAGGCATTGTATAACGGAAATATCGTTATCTTGGCACGGATATAATAATGTCGAGGTTTCAGAAGAATCGCGAGAAGTGCGCGGTTTCTGACTCTTTTAAGGACGCCTCCTACGAGAAACTTCGTTCTCATTATGCCTGGTCTCATGATTGTTAGAAGCGATGTAAACAGTGATGCGGTATTAATGGGAAAAAGTCTCGCAAGTGGGCAGAGGGAGGAAGGCTGTTCAAAATTGCCCCGCAGAAGGCTGAGCAAGGCTGGGGCTGTCGATAGAGACACGCTGCATGGTGTCGTTCATGCGCCACCATCGTGAATGATACATATTGATATTCTCTCTCATGATGCCAGCTGTATTTCCAGACTTGAGAAGTCACCTACTTGAGCTAATTGAGAACTCATTACGCCAGGTAAAATTCCATCTCTAAAGCCTTGCCCTAGCCTCGTCCTTAACAACAAGCCCAAACTTCCCGCTCTTCTCCTTATCCCTTAGTACTCTCCTCAGAATCTTGCCGGAAGGACTCTTCGGAATCTCATTGATGAACTCAACTTCCTTAACCCACTTGTACCTGACCTTATTCTCCTTGACATACGCGATAATGTCTTTCCCAGCCGCTGTACTCTCTTCCGTTCCCGGCTTCAAGACAACGTACGCCTTCGGCAGTTCACCGGAGTAATCATCCTTTACGCTCATCACCGCGACGTCTTCGACCTTCGGGTGGCCTAGAAGCAGGTCTTCAAGTTCAGCCGGCGCGACACCAATTCCCTTCACTTTGATGAGTTCCTTGATACGATCGGAGATGTGGATCATTCCCTCTTCGTCAATAGCACCGCGGTCGCCAGTATGAAGGAAGCCATCGGCATCGAAAGTGTCGCGAGTAGCTTTCTCATTGTTGAGGTAGCCCATGACGACTTGTGGCCCACGAGCGAGAACTTCGCCATCCTCTCCTACATCGCCTTCCGTGCCATCGTCTTTGATGATCTTGACTTCGGTAGAAGCTACGATCGCACCACCCGAGTGCGCATATTTGTAGGAGAACTTCGAAGGTGGATGTGCAGTGATGCACGAACATGACTCTGTCATCCCATAACCTTGCTTAAAACCGGTGTTGGGGAACTTCTTTTGAAGCTGCTGAATGATCTCTTCCGACAGTGGCGCTGCACCCGACGAAAAGCGTGTGACATGGCTGAGGTCGTACTTGTCGACCAATGGGTCGCGTACGAGTCGAATAAGAATCGGTGGTACCAGTAGAAGCTCACTAAGCTTGTATTCGACAATGACATCCAGCATCTTCTCCATCGTGAACTGCGGAAGCATGACGACCTCGGCGTTGAGTAAAACAGGTAGATGCATCTGATGGACCAGACCTAAAGATGTGTGTACGAAGTCAGCGTTCGTCTCACATGCAATTCGTACATAGTTAATTACTAACCGGTAATATGAAACAGAGGAAGTACGGCCATGATCTTTTTCTGGGTTTCAGGCGTGATCTGCTGTACCTGAAGACATTGCGCTATGACATTCTGGTGACTGATCATCACAGCCTTTGGCAATCCAGTCGTTCCAGAGGAGAAAGACAGGAACCCGCAAACGTCCTTGTTCTTCTTGCCAGGAGGCAGCTTGAATGCGGAGGTCTGCCCGGAGTCGCCATACGACTCTCCCGTACGAATTAGATCCTGAACGGTGGTGTATCCAGGTAAGTCGCCCTCCAGTAAGAACACGTTGGACTGCGGTAGTCCTGCAGCCTTTGCGCTCGCAGATGCAATCTCCATACTGCCGGGCGTTGTCATCAAGAACTTTGCGTCCGCGGTCTTCAGCGCGAATGTCATCTCTTCAACGTTGTATGCTGGACTAGCTCCGCTGATCTTCGCTCCTACGCGAAGTCCAGCAAACATAGCCACCGGGTACCAGACAGTATTCTGGCTGAACAGCGCCACTGTCTCGCCTTCTTTGAGGCCATAATTCTTCACCAGCGCGGTGGAAATGTATGTGGAGTACTTCTTCACATCGGCCCAGTTTACACGCTCCTTCGTGATCGCGTTTTGGAATCCAGCTAGTTCGTTCGGTGGGTATTTGTTGATAGGCGAGTAGGCGGAGTCGAAGAGCCAGTCCCAGTCCGTCAATTCGGTTGGTACTACAACGGTCAGCATCAATGATAGTGCTCGACTTTTGACAACTTACGATCGATAGGCGGTTGCCTGGACTTGAAGATTACCATATTGATGCAATTGGCTCAGCAATGGATCGCAGATAACACCCGAATTATAACCGGATAAACTGATGCGAGGAAACCAGCGCTGTAGAATCGTACTGAGAAGCGCAGTACAGAAGGTGACGGATCAAGAAGCGAGTGACCATCAGATGGGCCGCCTCCATGCCTTCTAATAGGCGACTGCCACCATTCTTCCTCGGCGCGCTCATCTCCATCGGATTCGCACTGCTCGAGTCGATCGCGGAGCGGGGATAAGGTACAAGGCGGGGTTGAGCAGCTACCCTGCCATCTGGAAGCGGTTAAGATCGGCACTCCTTCTGACGTTATTTCGGGTAACATCCGAGCCAGGGTGTGTAAGAGCCGCTTCATTGCCACACACCAGATCATCTTGTTACGAGGTCTGAGTGGAACTTCGAAATCATTAGTAAACAGAATTCCGATATAAGGAGGCCCATACCCAGACAGCTACCGCGACTTCCAAACCTCTCATCACGACTAGCCGAACCAATCCGTCATCTCAACCACCAACATGTCCGACGCAGGAGATTCGCAACAAGACCCTATCTTGAAAGTAGAAAGCAATAAAGACCTCAGAATCACCCTCATCGGCACCGGAACCATAGGCCTATCTTTCGCCGCCTTCCACCTATCACACCTCCTCGGCCCTTCCCAACTCACCATCTACGACACCCGGCCAGATGTCGACCAATACGTCAAACAAAACCTACCAAAATTCTTCGCAGAAGAACCCGCAGCAGCTGCTATCTCCAACATTCGCATCGCCAAATCCCTCGAATCAGCTGTAGAAGACGCGCACATCATCCAAGAATCTGGTCCGGAGAACCTCGCCTTTAAGAAAGAGCTATGGAAGAATGTCGAGGAGCACGCACCAGAGCACTCGCTGTTTTGGAGCAGCACATCTGGTATCCCAGCCTCGCAGCAGGCGCAAGATATGCAGGATAAGTCGAGGTTATTGGTCGTGCATCCGTATAACCCCCCGCATATCATGCCGTTGCTAGAACTAGTGCCGTCACCGGATACCTCGGAGGAAGTCATCAAACGGACGCAGGAGTTTTGGACGGGTCGTGGGAGAGTACCGATACATATCAAGAAAGAGACGACGGGCTTCGTGGCGAACAGACTGGCATTTGCGCTGTTGCGCGAAGCTATTCATCTTGTAGACGAGGGCGTTGTTTCGGTGGAGGAGCTGGATAGCATTGTAGAAAGTAGTATGGGGCCGCGGTGGGCAGTGGCCGGACCTTTCAAGAGCTATCATGCTGGTGGTGGACCGGCGGGGTTAGAAGGCTTCTTTAAGAATATTGGGGGTACGGTGCAAGATTGCTGGCAGGATGCGGGGAGACCAAATGTTGGAGACGGATGGGAAAAGAAGATTTTCAAGCAATCGCAGGATACGTATGGTACTGTGGATGTTGGTGAGCGCGATAGGTTGACGCGAAGAGTATTGGACGTCTTGAAGGAGGAGAGAAGCAAAGGCGCACAAGCCTCAGAGGATTGAATGCGTCCAAGACTAAGCAACTAATGTATTGCTTGAAAGAGAGCTGAGAGTCGACGACATAATAGTACATCTAAACGATAAGGTACAAGCTGGTGATGACACTAGGACCAATGAAGAGACCAAACCAAAACACAATGTTCCCCAACGTATCTCTCCCCTTCATGAACTTCGTCTTGCTGAACGCTGCCAGCGGCAGCTGCGTCAACTGGAATGTAAACAGATATCCCCTGACCTTCTTAAACAAGCAGAACATGAGAACCTCATGCACAATAGCGCTAAGCAAGAAAGTGAAGAAAGTTGCCTGCATCTTTGATAGATGGAAGAATGAGATCGAGGAGTGATAGACATGTCGAAGCAGGAAGTTGTGGACCGGTCGGTTCCAGTCGCGAGCGTATTGATCGAAGGATACGGAGTTCCACCACGCGCCGTAGAAACCGCGGTCGGCAAAACGCGTGACTTCTGCCAATACGTTGAGGAGACATTCCCATATGACGTACCAGCTCAGAAGCTGTTCGAGTAGAAGGGGGAAGAGCATATCGGATACTATAAAAGGAGACCATTAGCGGTTTATTCATCGGTCTCATAGTGATGTAGCACTTACCAACCCATGGAAACTCTTTCCATCGCTCATCGAGCGACATGCCAGCCTCCTTGTGTCGCATAGTCTCTACGACTACTGGGTAGATGTATGCTTGCGAGATGATGATCATAATCCAGATGACTCCCAGGGTGGCCGCCGACTTTTCCGCTACATACCACCAGTTGATGCGTTCCTGCCTGGGGTACTCGAGATCGTAGACGAGTGTGGGAAGGCACGCCCACTCTACAAAGTTGTAGAACGTCAAGTTGTTCGGGTAGACGTTATCAGTGGTAGTGCACTTTCCACGGAGCTCTTCATCAAGAATCGTAATCTCGGTGTTGAGCACGCGTCGAAAGGCTTCAATCTGTTCCGAATCCAGCGGGTTCCCGGTTTCAATAGCTTTACCGATAGATGCAATCTCAGACTCTTCCTTTGATAAATTGGTAGAGTACTTTGGCCCAATGCTTCCACGACGCGTCAACTGGCCTTGGTCAGATTTCTCAAGACCGGAAGCAGTTAGCGCCTCGGTCGGAGGATCTGTTTGGGT